AGAGTGTTCAATAAATTGACTTTTTGCACCTGCAAACTGAGTCCACGTCTCACATTGACAGAACGATCTGACCAGTTATGGACTCAGCAGGCGCAGATCCCCTCAGATCAGCAGTTACCCAGCAGGGCATTCTCTTGGGCCAGCATGCCTCCCAGCTAACCTCCACGTCCCGGGAGGTCGAGTTCCTAAACGCTCAGTTGTCTGATCTGTCTGCCCAGCTCCATGAACTTCGCAGTGAGGACACAGCTGGTTTTTTCTCTCTCCGCCATGACCCTGAGCCTCATGCTAACAACCCACCTCCCTATGATGGGAACCCCAACTCCTGCAGAGCCTTCCTGTCTCAGTGCTCCCTGGTCTTCACTCTACAGCCTCGCTGGTACGCCCAGGAGGAGACCAAGGTGGCTTATGTTTTAACCCTACTAACCGGCAGGGCCCGTGACTGGGGAACCTTTTGTGCTTCTTTTGAGGACTTTCGGCAGGAGATGGTCAAGATATTTGATCGTTCCGCTCGGGGTGATGAGGTGGCAGCCCAGCTGGCACGCCTACGTCAAAGGGGCCGTTCAGTGACTGAGTTCGCCATCGAGTTCAAGACCTTAGCAGCGGCAGTGACTGGAATGAGGGGTCTTGTAGAGCTGTGTTCCGTGCTGGACTGGATGAGGAGATCCTAGATGAAATTGCTACCCATGAACTTCCGCACGGCTTTGATGTTCTTGTCAACTTGGCCCTCCGTGTGGAGAGTCACCTTAACCTTCGTCGCCAACGTTCGACTGCTCGCACCTCTTGGAGGATGGGGGAAATGACCGGCGACTCCAGCTCTGTCTTGCCTCCGCCTTCTCCTGCTGACCCTGAACCTATGCAGGTGGGACGCCTGCGTCTCACTCCTCAGCAGAAACAAGAGTGAACAGTGAACAGAAACAGTGGTTCTGGGTCACCCGTGGTTGGTGCAGCATGGTCCTCATGTGGATTGGGTCAGACAGGGTCTCTTATATTCCCTGTCTGGTCCAGAACGAGAGGATATGGACAAATATATTCGAAAGTCCCTAAATGCCGGTCTCATCCGTCCCTCCTCATCTCCAGCTGGTGCAGGATTCTTCTTCGTTAAGAAGAAGGATGGCTCCTTGCGCCCTTGTATTGATTACAGAGGTTTGAATGACATTACCATTAAGAATAAGTACCCCCTGCCCTTAATGTCATCTGCCTTTGAACTTTTGCAGGGAGCCAAGGTCTTCAGTAAGTTGAACCTCCGCAATGCTTATCATCTGGTTTGAATTCGAGAGGGGGATGAGTGGAAGACAGCATTCATCACTCCTTTGGGACACTATGAGTACCGGGTGCTACCTTTTGGCCTGACAAATGCCCCAGCTGTCTTCCAGGCCCTGGTCAACGACGTGTTGAGAGAAATGGTTAACAAGTTTGTCTTTGTGTACATGGATAACATTCTAATCTTTTCTCCCTCACTTCAGGTACACACTCAACACGTACGTCAGGTGCTACAATGGCTGCTGGAGATCCAGCTGTATGTTAAAGCAGAGAAGTGCGTTTTCCACTCCAAGTCAGTTCCATTCTTGGCTATATCATTTCGGCGGAGGGGATCAAAGCAGATCCCACTAAGGTAAGGGCCGTAGCCGAGTGGCCACCTCCAGACTCACGCAAGGCTCTGCAGCGGTTTCTGGGATTCGCCAACTTCTACCGGCACTTCATCCGAAACTTTAGTCAGGTTGCTGCACCCTTGACAGCTCTTACCTCTACTAAGGTACCGTTTAGGTGGAATTCGAAAGCTCAGGGGGCCTTTGATGACCTCAAGTCCCGATTCATTTCTGCTCCTGTTCTTTCGTTTCCAGACCCTGAATGTCAGTTTATTGTGGAGGTGGATGCTTCTGAGCTTGGAGTAGGTGCGGCCCTTTCTCATCGGTCCCCTAGAGATGGGAGGGTACATCCCTGTGCCTACTACTCTCACCGCCTGAGCCCAGCAGAACGGAATTATGACATAGGCAATCGGGAGCTGTTGGCGGTCAGGCTGGCCTTGGGTGAGTGTCGCCACTGGTTGGAGGGGTCAGCACAGCCCTTCTTGGTCTGGACGGACCATAAGAATTTGGAATATGTTCGTTCGGCCAAGAGGTTGAGTTCATGTCAAGCTCGATGGGCACTCTTCTCTGGCCGGTTCAACTTCTCTCTCTTGTATCGTCCAGGCTCCAAGAATGTAAAACCCGATGCCCTTACTCGCCTTTTCAGGAATACGGGGGGGATAGGGGCGTCAGTTGAAACCATTATCCCTAAGGAAATTGTGGTGGGGTCCCTCTCCTGGGATGTAGAGAGGAGAGTACTGGAGGCCATATGAGAGAGAGAGGTGCCAAGAGGGTGCCCAGAGGGTAGACTTTTTGTGCTGGTTGTGTTGCGCCCTGAAGTCCTCCAGTGGGGGCATTCATCTAAGTTAGTCTGTCATCCTGAGGTTCGGAGATCGCTGGCCGTCATCCGCCAGCGATTCTGGTGGCCATCCATGGCCCAGGATGCCAGGCAGTTTGTGTTTGCCTGCTCGGTTTGCACCCAATCTGCTTCACCCCTTGCCCATCCCCTCCCGCCCCTGGTCACACATAGCCCTTGACTTTGTCACTGGTCTTCCGCCATCGAGGGGTAACACCGTAGTATTGACGGTGGTGGACCACTTCTCTAAAGCAGCCCATTTCATCCCCCTTCCCAAATTGCCTTCAGCCAAGGAGACTACTCAAGTGGTGGTTGACCACATCTTCCGGTGGATGTGGTTTCCGATAGGGGGCCACAGTTTGTCTCCCGGTTCTGGAAAGAGTTCTATCGGCAGATCTGGGCCTCTACGAGTCTGTCGTCAGGTGTTCACCCTCAGACCAATGGGCAGTCCGAGCGGGCAAATCAGGATCTGGAACAAGCTCTCCGCTGCCTGACGTCCCATAATCCAAATTCTTGGAGCCAACAGCTATCCTGGATTGAGTATGCCCACAACTCCTTGCCAGTGGCTGCCACAGGTATGTCCCCATTCCAATGCTCCATTGGTTTTCAACCTACTATGTTCCCCTCACAGGAGCCCAATGCTGCTGTTCCGTCGGCCTTAGCCTTTGTCCGCCGGTGTCGCCGCACCTGGAGGAAGGCTGAGGAAGCCTTGGCCCAGGTTTCCAGACGAACCAAAGCAGCGGCTGACCGTCACTGAATTCCTGCCCCCCGCTATGTATGTGGTCAGAGAGTATGGCTGTCAACCAAGGACCTTCCTCTCCGGGTGGCCTCTCGCAAGTTAGCCCCCAGGTTCATGGGGCCATATCAGGTCACCAAGGTGTTGAGTCCGGTGGCGGTAAAGCTCAAGTTACCTCCCACACTTGGTCGGGTACACCCAGTCTTTCATGTTTCTCGGGTCAAGCCTGTGTTTCATTCTCGCCTTTACTCATCTGCTTCTGCCCCTCCCCCTCCCCCTCCCCGTCTAGTGGATGGTTCCCCAGCCTTCACTGTCAGAAGGTTGCGGGATGTCAGACGGCGAGGTCGTGGATTTCAGTATCTTGTGGACTGGGAGGGATACGGTCCGGAGGAGAGGAGTTGGGTCCCGGCTCGGGATATTCTGGATCGGTCGCTGATCGAGGACTTCTACCGGCAGTGTGGTAGGCCCTTCCCTGGGGACGCTCCTGGGGAGGGGGGTAATGTCACGCCCCCGGGCTGATCTGTCTGTTCTTCCCTTTTTTCGGTTGTGTGTTCTTGTGTTTACACTTACCATGTGCTTCTGTGTCATCGTGGTGTCTGTCCCTGCCCTCTTGTTATTCCATTAATGATCTTCTTGGCCACACCATCACCTGCTCAGCAATATGTTAATCACTCCTTCCCTATTTAGTCTCCTCATGTGTGCTGTCTTGTGTCTTGTGCTGTCTTGTGTTTTGTACTCCGTGCAATCTTAGCTCCGACCCCGTCTTGTCTCGATCTTTTGCTGTGCAGATATCTTGCCAGTTTTGTTTTCATCTTTTAGTTTTGTTTGTCCCTCTCCTTCCTGCTTACAGGCAGCGTTAACCTCCTCCAGCTCTACCCACGCTCGCGATCTCCGATCGCTGTTTCCGCTGTCTCAGCTCTTCCTCGCCTCTCCGCCAGTGCGCCCCCAGCTCCCAGCCTCAACAGCGCCCCCGCCTCCCTGTCAGTTTGTATCGGTCTTGGGTGGATTTTCCCATTGGAGTTCATCGTCCAGGAGGCACTATTGGACCTGTTCCTGGCTGCCCTGTGCCTGGATTGTTTTTGTTGTTTATTTTTTCCCTTTTTTTGAACTTCAAGACTGTTCAATAAATTGACTTTTGGCACCTGCAAACTGAGTCCACGTCTCGCATTGACACATATACTTAGCAACAACCTTAGTTTACTTTATTTTTTAAAGAAATTAATACTTTTATTCAGCAAGAATGCAATAATTGGTCAAAAGTGAGAGTAAAGATTTTGTTACAAAGATATTAACATATATTTCAATTAAATACTGTTCTTTTGAACTTCAAAGTATCAAAGTATCCTGGAAAAAAATTGAAACACGATTTCCAGAAAAATATTAAGCGGCACTATAACTGTTTTTAACATTTATAATAATGAGAAATGTTTCCTGAGCACCAAATTAGAATATCAGCTTTGCCATCACAGGAATAAATTATATTTTAAAATACATATAAATAGAAAACAGTTTTTAAACTGTAATAATATTTCACAATATTACTCTTTTATTGTATTTTTCATTAAATAAATGTAGCCAACAAAATCCCCACACCAAACAGACAGACAACAACATTACCAAAATCAGTACCAGCATCAACCACTAGTTGAAACCTTACTCTCTCTGTAAGTAATTGTATAATTCAGTGTTTTGGAGCACTCAGCATTGTATCAGAAAACATTCAGGAAAAACATGATGACATTTAGATAGCACTGAAGGTGGGAATGAGATCAGTGTAACACTCATGTGCTGATATGCTTTGTGTGTGTGTGTGTGTGTGTGTGTGTGTGTGTGTGTGTTTCAGAATGCAGGAGCGGGCGGTACAGAGGGTGTGCGCGTGGCTCTTGCTGGTGTTTTTGACCCTTCTGTCTCTCTGGGGTCATTTGTCTGATGCCTCCTCTCACCGCAGTCACATCGGTAAGTCAAGGTCAAGGTTCATTCGGTAAAGCTTGTTGTTATTGCTTTATTTTCATTTTAACCTACAGTGTTGATCATTTTAATGAGCCGTCTCATTAAAAAACAGCTTATGTGGATTGCATGAAGTTAGATTTAGGGCGATATTACCATAAACATTTTAATTTTGCTTTTAAAGATCAGAAGTTTGGTTCTTGTGTCTATCTGTACCAGAAATTTGAACGATATAAGCACAAACCAAAGACAGAGTGTTTTTGTAGACAGCTCAGTGGTAAGTGGATGCTTAATTCAGCTTAAAATAGTCTAGTGAATGTTCTCTATTTATGAGGAGAAGAGTTGATGGACCGCAGGACACTGACGTCTCTGGGGTCATGTGCAGGCCGCTGCAGAATGTTCCAGTAGAAAGTGATAAGAGTTTATTTGTCATAAGCACTTGTTTCTTTTATATAGTAATTGCAGACTACTGTATATTGATTCTGATTCATGCAACTGGCTGACACTTTCTAAAGTGAGTTGCATTGCATTCAAAGGGAACCTTTATCAGTTTATGGATTCCTGAGGATTGACCCCATGGACTTCGTAACCCTACACTTCTGATTAGACAAGTAACACTACCATTCAAAAGTTTGTGGTTGGTAAGACTTTTTAATGTTTTTGAAAGAAGTCTCTTATGCTCACTAAGGCTACATGTATTTGTTAAAAATACAGAAAAAAATAAATACTGTGAAATATTATTACAATTTAAAGTAACTTTTCTATTTTAATATATTTTGTAATGTAATTTATTCTTGTGATGCATCAGCAGCAGAAATTACAGATTGTTTGAAGAAACAAGATAAACATGAATATAGTGATTCAGTGATGCAAACAATATTCAATTCTGCTGTTAAGCAGCTCTAAAATGATAATAGTAAACAGTCATTGTTCAGTTGAAATCAGTTCATTGTTGATTCAGTTTGGTTTAATAACTTTGTAAAGTCAATCAATTATGTCCATCGGTGACAGAAATGGAGAAAAAACATTTGATAAATAGAGACGTTCAAAAGAACAGCATTTATTTCAAATAGAAATAATTTGTAGCAGTGTAAAGCTCTTTACTGTCACTTTGGATCAATTTAACGTCCTTTCTGAATAGAAGTCTGTCTTTCTTTCTTTCTTTCTTTAAAAAATCTCCAAATTTTTGTATGGTAGTGTAATTTCGTTTTGTCATTTGGTTTATTCTATTTAATTACCTTAAATCAGCAGTACATCAAATGCAAGTTTTGTTATTTATTTTGATATACGTTCACCGTGTTGCAATATCTACCTGATTTTGTAGACAAGCCAATGATGCAATGCAGTGCAATTTGCTCTTTTTTTAAACTTAGTGTGTTCATTAAAGCAAAATGCTAGTTTTCTAGATGTGACAAAATTAAACAGACTATTTCCATCTAATTGTCATGATGTTGTCAGAAAAAAAAATGTTATGAGAAGGGTGGTAAACCTAACCGTCTTTTACTGACTTGTGCAGTAATTTTACTTGTCTGATACTATTAATATGACTTGTTTTATCATTAAACACTTTGGTAAAGTGTTGAGCTTCTGCACTGCTTGTTTCTTTTCTTTTGTGGTGCGCAGATTTCATTTCTTGACAGCAAGGGGTACTCATTGTGTGAACTTCTCTCATCTGTCGCAGCAGAATGGTGGCTCAGACTATTTTTTGAAGAGGGTGGAGGGGACCATAAATTGAAATATCAAAATTTCAAATAGAGAATGATTTGTGAATTCATTACTTTTTATTATAATGTAAAAATACATCTAATTATACAGCATGCTGCTGGAATTAATTGATGTGGGCCCCTGTAATCACACACAGTGTATGTTTACAGTCATATTGGACATTAGAATATAGATCCAGAGTGTCTATTTACACTAAGTGCAAATACCCACCTTGTTGGCAGAGGCTATTTACACTAACTTTGCCAACCAATGTGTGGTTGGGCTAGTCAACAATACAAAAGACGGGAGTCAAAATCAGCTTCAGTAGTGTAGATGGTAAAGTGGGTACAGTAGTCTTTTTGACGCGATCGACCAGAGTTCGGATCCGCCTTTTGCCAATCTCGTTCTTCTCCCTTTTCACATCTCATATCACATCGGAAAGGCTTTTTTTTTTCCAATAAAAATTAATAATTAAATTATTATTATTGAAAAGTTAAAATAAATTAACAGGTAAGGTTAGGGGTAGGTGTAGGGAGGGATTTATTGTCCCAGTAAGGCAGTATCAATTTAATAATTTTAATAAAAATTATAATTTACACTCAATATATTATTATTGCATACTGTTTTATATTGTACTACAATACTGAGGTGCAGATATCTGCCACTATTTGCAATAAGTTGTATAAATAGCAGAGAATACTGGTATTTTTACATAGTGCAAATAGAATCTACCGCTATTTGCTCCTAGTGTTAATAGAATTCATTGCTTTTTGCACTTAGTGTAAATAGCACAATTGCTAAGAAAATATGCTATTTTCACTTAGTGTATATAGCATCTGAGGCTATTTGCACTAAGTGTCTATAAAATCTGTGTGCTTTTGTTTACTACAGTCTTCCCTACACAGTAATTCTTCATTTTGATTGGCTAAGTAGTTCAGAAATTAAACGTGTCAGCCAATGAGAGGTGGGAAATAGTTCAGACAATCAGTTAATTACACACTACTGCTAACAGGTCAGAGCACGGTGACTGAACACACACACACACACACACACACACACACACACTAAATCACTGGGATGGAAAAACTAATAACTCTCTAAACTCTTCTTCTCTATACGAGCAGCAAAAGGTTCAGAGACAATGAGCTAAATGAGAGTGAAGTATTTGTTTCGCACACACATACACAGGGAATATAGCCAGAAAGTTTGCTGCTACTGTAGGTCATTCTTTATGAGGCTCATCCTCTCAATAAAACTAATATCCCAGGAGAGAGAGAGTAAAGGAGGGAGAAAGGCTGCAGAGATCTATTGAAGGGCATAAAGAAGAGAAAGAGACAGAAGTGTGGAAAGAGAGACAGAGACAGATGAGTGTGTCATGAGATGAAACGCAGGAAGAGACATGGCTCTTGTGGATGACTGCAGTCCTGAGCTCTCCTGCGCTCTGAGTGTGTGTGTGTGTGTGTGTGTGTGTGTCTGTCTGTCCTGTGCCCTTCTGCCCTGTAAAACGCTCAGATCTCGCTCTGTCTGTCTGATATATCCTAAACCTGTCCACCCTAAACAAGACACTCAGACCAGTGACATCAAAACTATGAAGAGAAATAGTTCAATTCAGTGGGGATGGTGTGTCGCAAGGACATAGAGGAAAGAGTTTATAAATGTGCAAGAAGCTTCGTAGCCGAACAAAACTGTGGAGGAAAGTCTGAAATCTTTGGTTTAGTGAATTGGTTTATTGGGAAGATTCATTGAGATAAACCTGTTAATTTGAGTCGCTGTGTAGCATATTACACCTTTTTGCAATAGTAAAATATTTAGTTAAATATTGCTTTTCATAGCTGATATACATGTTTTAGACTCATTGTATTTATTCAGTGGGAAGATAAATGGAGATTAACTTGTTCAAAAAGAATTGATTCACAGACCCTTACCAAAAAGAAGTATACTTCAAGTTTATTTTATTAAGTATACTTAAGTAAAGTTCAAGTATATTTGTAAGTATACTTTATGTAGTAAGTATACAAATATCAGTGTACTAGTAGTATACTTGTAAATGTAATATTTCAATACCCCTTGGGACTAAATTGGCCCACTTTCTAGTATATAAAAGTATACTTTAAGTATAACAGTAGTAAACTTTGAGTACACAACTAGTTTACATCTGTTTTTTAGTTTGTACTGCAACTATACTAAAAGTGAACTTATAGGCATACTGATAGTTTACTAATTAAATACTTGTAGCATTTTTAGTACACATTGAAGTATACGCTCAGTAAACTACTAGTTTAGTAGTTTATACTGCAAGTATACTCGTAAGTTTTCTTCAAGTGAACTTTACATCATACTTTAAGTATACTACTATGTCCCTATTTAGGTATTAATTTGTATATGTTGTGTTATATGAATATCGGAACATACAAAACATCAAAAGAAAGAACGGGCTATCTGCTTGTAAACAAAAACATTTTATTCTAGCTTCATGCATTCTTTTTTATAAACACATGAATGTGGGTAAGTTTCATAAATAAAAATAAAGAAAGAAATAAACAACATTTTGAACAAAAAAAGATGAAAGATAATGATAATCAAAACGTAGATGGAGTCAATCAACACCCCACAGCTTGACAATCATTACCTCTTCATGGGTCGACATTTTATTTCATAACATCACACAGTTTTGATGCTGTTTTATGTCTGATCGTGTTACATTAATACATGTGGAAGCATCTGTTGTTTCGGTTTCTTCTTC